ACTTTTGGGCTGCATCTCTGGGAAGCAGTTAGTGTCCACGGAATGTAGTTTGCATATGGGTCCGGGAGGTGGTGCCTTCCAGGCCCATGGGTTGCACAGGAAACTGTCCAGACATTCTGGGCAGGTCGAGCATATCTGGCATGTCTCCAGCTGTCCCTTTTGATGTTGGATGAATCAAGCATTTAGCATTTGATTTCTTAACAAAAGCATTAGTTTGGGAAGTATCTGGATTATTTCTAAACATACACTGATAAATTTTCCTCATTGGAGGTGAAGGAATCCAGTGCCATCCTGATCAGAGACCCCTCTAACTGCCCTTCCTGGCACAACTGCTTCTGGGGACTTATAACACGGAGCAGCCCTGCTATTGATAGGAACCACTACTCCCTGCACCTTCCAAGCCTCGTCCTTGGGCAGCCCTGTTTGTGCTCTTTTAAACCTTGTTCTCAGCAGGGAGCCACAACTCCTGATCACTGAACTCCCCCTTTCACATGACCCTACAAAAGATCCCATTGCCTGTATGAGAGGCTGGTCTGGTCTCTAGTGCTAGAGTGATCCCTCTCAAATTTGTTCTGAAATAAACCTGTCCTGTTTCTCCTTTTTCTTTTCCCTAACAGCAGATGCTGTTTGTCCTTTGGGGTAAGTGCTGTCACAATGAAAATGTAATCGCCTGCCCTTGCTTACTCTCCCTTCTAAGCCATGCTGTTCAGCCTTGTTGCTTCAAATGCCAGTGTATCCCAAACATCTCTGTGCACTCTGGAGCCTTCCCAGATTCCATATTCAGATACTCAGTTTCACAGTGCACTTCTCTCTGGGTATCTAACAAACTTCTCAAAGTTAATGAAGCCAGACCTGACCTTTGCTACTCCAAGCTGATTTTGCTTATAACTCTTCCCAATTTGGTTGATGACAACTGTTTTTCCCAGGACAAATCCTGTGATCATTCTTGACTTTTTTCATACTTGACCTTCAGCCCACCAGGAAACCCTATCATCTCTACCTTGAAAGTGACTAAAATCTTCCTGCTATCACTCCCTGCGGACACCCTGGTATAAGTCTCTGTCATGCCACCTCACAATGTCGCATCATGGATGCTACAGAAGCACAACAGTCTTCCTGATTTACCTTTTCTTTTGGAAGGAAAGCTAGCCACAAGGAAACTCTGTCACCTGTACCCCAGAAAGTAGGTCAGAAAACCCTCACATGGACAGGTGTCTTGCCTACACGCAGAGGAAAAGAATCCCATACAGGGGAGCTAGGAAGGATTTGAGCAGACATGCTTTACAAAGCCCCCCACTTTCACACCTTTGGGTCACATTTCTCCTGTGCAGTTACTTCTGTCCATACTGTTCATGTGTTACTAATTTGAAGCATAGACTGTTTCCCCAGGGTCTTTGGGTCTTCATTCCATTCTGGCTTCATGGAAAACTTCGGTGAAATAGCCCTGTAATGTCCTTCTCTCATTAACCTGCATTTTGCTGTAGGGTGCCAGCCGTGGCCTGTGATGGTGAGGATCAGCTCTCCTCACCATGCGATCCCCCAATCCCTCTCCCCAGATGGAACTAACCCCCATGTCTCCTGCTCCCAACCCACTCTCCCACCATCCATTCCCCGTGTCATAGCTATGAGTCAATCCAGTTTGTTCTGCCACGTTAGAACTCGCAGAACTTTCTCACTAGCTTTCCAGTCACTGCAGCTGTGTGACAGAGTACCTCAGACTTGCTGACTTAACATGACCATTTACTGTGTGCATAAACTTGCTGGGTTTGGAATTTGGGCGGGTACAGCAGAGCTGGCTTATCTCATTTCTGTGATGTTCAGTTCCCTCACATCTAAGGGACAGCCCATCTCACAGCCTGTTCATGCCTGTGTATGGACGCTTCTCCATTGGTCACCATATGGTGGCTGAGTTCCTAGGAGAAAGCACTAGGCAGAGCTGGATTCTAGCCACCTCATAAATGACTCAGAGTCTTTTCCATCACACTCGGTGGGTTGGAGTCTCACAGTCTATTCAGGTTCAAGGGTATGGAAATGGGTTTCACTGCTTTAATAGGGAATGGAAGTTTTCCCTGGAGGACTAGAATATTGCTGTCAACATGTTTTGGGACAGCAAACTGCCTCAGTGGCACTATCATATCTAGATCTTTCTTTGCTGTCCTCTCTTTTCCCTGTGGAGCACTAGGCTCCAGCTGCATGTCACTGGAGCACCCCAGTGTGCCCCTTTCCTGGGACCCTTAGCCTGGCTGGTCTTCCCACTTGTTCTGTTCTTTTTAGGATGGAAGTGGGCTTTCTCCCCAGTACTTTGCAAGCTTTTACTCAGATGCCATCTTCCCAGTGATGCTTTCTCAGATGCCCCTGTACACCCCATTTGACCTTTCTTTAAATTCCCATACCACTGTCTATGGAATTTTCATGATTAGTCTTTATCAATGCCTGCTGCTAGAACGTAAGCTCTACAGAAGGAGGGACCTGTGTTGGTTCTGCCAGCTGACTCACCTGAACTATGAGAATAGCATGCAACACATACATGTGGCTAGCATGGGACATGGCAAAAGCAGTTCTGGTGGGGACATTTGGAACTGGCTTCGCTTGCTTCCAATTAACCAGTGAGCAAGCTCCACTTCCTAAGCTGCATGACAATAGCCAAATTCCTATGCTCATACAACACTTGATACATAGTAGAGGGTAACATACAGGGCAGTTGGACTGCCATATCAATAGGATCGGCATTCACATACTCAATCTTAGATGGAAGATTTCAAAACAAAAATTATACCTTTACTAAACATCTGCAAACCATTTTCCTTGTCATTATTACCTAGACAATACAATATAGCAACTATTTACATGACATTCACATTGCATTAGACATAAGTAGTGGAGAGACAATTTAAAGTATATAAGAGAGTCTGTTCAGATTTTATACAAATGCTATGTCATTTTATATAAGGTATTTAAGGTTCTCGGATCTTGGTATCTCTGGAGGATCCTATTATTGTTCTTCGTGGATACTGAGGGATACTTGCACTTCACTCATTTATTTGGAAAGATAAAAGTGGTACCTTAGTTCACAAACTTAATTCTTTCCACAATTTTGATCACAAACCGAATTGGATGAGAACTGAATCAAATTCAATGCTTAGGTTCAATGTCGACCTTATGGGGAAATTTGATTTGGTTCTTGTCCAATTCAGTTTGCATTGAGAATTATGGAAAGAATTAAGTTTGTGAAACAAGATAACACTGTACTTTGCACAACTAAGTTTGTAGGTTGGGGTAGCATAAATCAATCAGATAAGAGACTAACATAACAGTTGCTTTTGTTGTACAACTTTCTCTTTATTTTTGTTGATATGAGCCAGAATTAGTTGTTTTAATTTATATCTAGTTTTGCGGTAGAGAATTTCAGAGTATATTTCTAACTCCAAAGTTGCATATCTACCCCTCATCTTACCACATATGAATACTAACTAAAATGGATCCTAAGTCCACAAAGCAGTTTCCAGTGGTTCACTTTGCATAGCTTGGCTTCTGCTCTTGCTCATTCTCCAAGTTTAGAGAACTGGTGGGCTCTTAGGCATGTACTGCCTCTGAAAATAAGTACTGGTTGAAATAAAATAAAATCCCGCTATACCAGTAAGAGAAGTTGCAGCACCATCAGTAGTATAGCCACCACTTGAAGTAAAACCTCTGAGCACAGTGAATATGTATCTCATTTGGTTACAACTGACAAAAGAAGACATTCAGTTCTCAGAGAAGGAAACAGAAGGAATCAGAACTTGTAGAACAAGCCACGGTTTCTTATTAGTAAGGTACCTCTTTGGACTTCTGAACCATAGTGATAATGGGTTCCCTCAACATGTTTGTGGTGGCTAGGATGCACTGAGTTCACTTGAATAGTGACTCATCTCTCAGGCACTGGAAGTAAGTGGAAAATTCCTGTTCACTGGACGATCATGCAGTCATGCTTGCTTCTTAGTGAATGGGTCCACAGACCTCTGCTACCACTAGTGATTTTTCTTGGTTCATTTGTAGGATGAAAGTTATATTAGTCATATTTTCCTTACTGAAACAAAATTACTGACATATTCAACTTAAAGGAGGAAAAGTTTATTATGGCTTATGGTCTCAGAAGTTCTAGTCCATGGTTGGTTAATTCCAGAGCAGCCCCTTCATGGTAGAAGGATGTGCAGGAATAAATCTGCTCACCTTATAGTAACCAGGAAGCAGAGTGAGAGAGAAAGAACCAGAGAAAAAAGGACCAGGGATAAGATACACCCTTCCAAACCATACCCCCAGGGACCCCTCCATTCAATTAGGCCCCACCTCCTAATAAGCCCATTGAGATATTAACTCTCTAATAGATTAATACATGAAGTCAGTGCCCTCACAATTCAATTGCCTCAACACAATCAAAATGACAATCAAGATTAACAGTCACAGCCAGGTGTGGTGGTGCACACCTGTAATCTCAGCACTCAGGAGGTTAAGGCAAGAGGAGCCCTGTGAGTTTGAGACCAGCCTGTGCTACCTACTGAGTTCAAGGCCAGCCTGAACTACACAGTGAGACCCTGCCTCAAAACAAAACAAAACAAGACAAAACAACTCTCCCAAAAGATTAATAGTCACAGAAATTTTCAAATTTTCAGTTCTCTACCCTATGTTCTACAACCTAGTCCTAGGCTGCCTAGTGGGAAGGGTCCTGTGAATCAGTGGTAGACTATCAGCAAGTCACCTAGAGAAAAATCAAGCCAGAGCAGCACAGTAACACCCCATCCTTCATCTGTAACTGTCCTTGCAAAAAGACCTAGAGCTTCAGAATCCTTCCCAATGCAGGATTTCAGGTGGCACCCCCATTGGGTCTGAGTGTTATCCAACATGGGATGCTACTATTCTTATGGCTTGACTATGGTTCTTTGGTCTTGACTTTTAATTCGCTAGTTCTGAGTGTTGTTCAGTTCTGACTGCAAGTACATTCACTGTGGATTTTTGTTTTGCAGAAGCAAATGTGAAGGGAAACACTGTGAAGTACATGGAGATGCTTGAGGACAAACTGCTCAGGTAAGGAGATGGTTTCTGCATTACAGACTCCATGGTATGTCTGAGTGCTTTGTTGTATTGGAATTTAGTTTAAGCAATGAAAAAGGATAGTCAATTTCTATAATAAATTAAAACAAGGAAAAAACTGAAAAGTTCTCTCAATCTCCTGCAGGAAGGAACAGGTGCTGTACAAACAACTCCCAGTCTAGGTCTCCTCTTTTAAGTAGCAAATGGATTAAACTATTTAAAAATGTCTTGGAGAGAACATAGGATAGTTTGTATGTCTAGTAATAGGAGAACAACATTCTTTGGTACACTGAACTCAGACTTCATGCCTCCATCTGTTTCTCCTTTCTTTTCAGTCTCAAGGAGGGGCTCTCAAGGATTGGGAACCAGTTTATACATGGCTTGGAACAATATAGAAATGTACATCATAGGTTCTGTTTTGAATCCTGAATCAAAACCAGTGTGAAAATTCCTGGTTGCCTTTTTTTTTTAAAAAAACTCAATTAGGAATTCAGAGTTGAGAACCATTAGGGATGCTGCAGCCTGTCAAGATGTTTCTGGTTTCTGTGGATGTGTACTTCTGAAAATAAATCCCAGCCACCGGGATCTGTTCCCAATTAAGGAAACAAGTACGAGAATGTAGTATGTGCTTTCTTCCCTGGGAGTCGTTTGGTTTTATGGAGACGTTTTGCTACTATTTTGGAAATTGTTAAGTAGGTCGTTAGATAGACTTTGCCTGAAACCTGTCTGCTAGGATAATGCCATAGGCTGACACAGGCTTCTCCTGCAAGAGATGTTGGGAGCAGGCTGCTGTGCTGAACCCTCTTCATCCAGGAGAGCATGGTACTCACCCTGAGGATGCAGGGTATGCTCTCAGGCTGGAAATCTGATCCTTTCTTCCCCCAAAGACTAACCATTCCCCACCTCCACAGTCCCAGAACTTGAGGAGGAGTTGTGACCAAGAGGGTCTGTAGAGTGAGGCCCAGGGACATCCATGTGAGCCATGGCTTAAATCTGAGCAATCTTCCTGCCATCTCAAGTGTCCTGGGCCAGGTTTCTGACATGTTCCTCTTGATCGTAACCCTAGCTACCATCTTGTTTTAGGCATAACCATCATAAATACCACAAGTAACAAAGGTTAACAAGTGGGCAGTTTTAACCCTAGGAACATGAGCATTGACAGAGAGACACCTGTTTAGAGTGCGGCTCTGAACTTGAATGGCTCCCTCAGAGAACTGCCCACAGGCAGCCTGTCCTGCCGCAGCTCTGGATGAAGAAGATCTAGTTAAATCTCACATTCAAGGTGACTGGTCTATTGGCAGTCTGTGCCAATTAGCTTCCTTTGCTTTCTCTCCTAACCTCCCTTCTCCATATTATGGGGGCTGAGTAGGAAGTCCCACCAGAGCTCATCCTCTGTCCCTCCATGACAGCTCCTCCTACTGCATGCCAACTAGATGCATGGCCTCTACCCTGCTGTGAGGGTCGGAGCCCTCTTGTCCCACATGTCCCTGAGTCCTGTTTTGCAGGCTACTTTCACCCTGCTCCTGAGTGACCATCTCAGTCACTGCAGGCCACACTTCCGGTGTTGCCCTTGTGCTCAGTCCTGAGGGGGTATCTTTCAGCACAAGGTTGACATTGCATGTGGCTGCCAGCTTTCCTTAGGATTATGCCCAAGCATCATCTCATGGCCTTTGTGTGTCCTTGAGGATCACTGTCCCCTTGCTGCATAGTTCTCTTCCTCTTTCCCATGACAGTGTCCTTTAGGAGGGAAACTGACTTAGGAGAAAGGCCAGGGCATGTTGGTTAGGTTGAACTTGTAAAATTGCTGATATTTGTCTATTTTTTACCTAGAAAATTGGCAGTTTCATATGTTCAACCAAACCACTACTTACTTAGTAACCTTTAGGAGGGTCAGATGCAGTGGCCTAGGGCAGCAGTCTTGTTCCCTATGACATCTTACAGATGCCTGGGCCTGTTTCTTCCTCCACTAGCCAGTGCCCTGGGGCCACTTCCAGCTCTACCCCATCATCTGTCTAATCCTTTCATTCTTTAAGTTGTGGGCTTCTCCTTTTTGAAGCCTTCCATGCGCTCCATGACAAAGCAACATGTCTGCACAGCACTCTGCTGTCTCCTGGAGCCTGCCAAGATTTATAGCTGTCCCGCTCACTCAGGAGTATGTCCCCAGGGGTTATCTGTGTTGGACATTAGGTCCCCAGAAAACAGATATTGGTGAATGGTTGAATGAACGAATGAATGAATACAGCCCATCTGTAGGCATCTCCCACCTTTCTCCTTGCCTCTCCAGCCAGGATGATATCCCAGAGCTACCATGTTCCTGGCCCCTTGGTTCTTACTTATTAGTACCCCAGAGCTCTCCATGGTTTCCCAGTAATGGCTAGTGCTCTGGCAGCCCCTCCTGAAGGTTTCCTGTTGGTGTGTCCAGCTGTTAGCAGGCCTGGTTCAGGTGTTGGTGAGGGGGAGGCAGAGAGTATACAAAGCAGCCAGAGATTGTGCCCTCTGGAGGCAGGCAGGAGGCCAACAGGATGCTGCAGAACTAGTAACTGCCAGGCTTCTGTGACAGTACCATCCTCTACGTGGTAATGGCTGCTCTTGGACCCTTGTGGGCATCCTGATCATCCGTGACAGCTTGCAGCATAGTGACTACTCAAGCTCTATTGCAGAATGGAAATAGATGCTGGTGAAGGTCTTGATGATCTATTCCACTGTATGTGGCATCCCTTAGTCTGACAGGGCTTTGGAAAGGAAGCAGCTGAGACCTGGCTGGTTTATTCTCTTACATAAGGATGTTATAGAGGATCCACTTCAAGGTCAACAGATTTGGATCTTACCAGTAACAGTTTTGAAGACAAATCTAAATGGTCACACTTCCTATGTTGCCCTCTCAAATTGCACCTGAAGACTCAAATCCTGATGTATGCTCAAAGGGCTTAGGGTTCCCTCTGTTACCAAGGTCAAGGGAACTGGGGAGTTAGGAAGTACAGGGGTTTGCAGCAGCTCCTGGGGATGCCACACAGCAATAACCACTCCATGAGTCAGGCGCATGCAAGTTTCTGTTCTTCCTTCCATAAAGAACAGACCCCATGTGGAGATGCTTGCTTCATATCTGTCTGTTTGAGGACATCTCTCCTTCTCCTGTCTGTGACACCCAGCCAGGTGGGTGGCAGTAGCCAGGCTCCAAGGTCTTTCCCTATAGCCTTCCCTCCCATTTTCACTCCTGGCCATGAAACAACCTCCTAACAACTATCTTTCCTATATCTATCCACCCCTCTCCCCCTGTGGGAACAACTTCCACACCCTCTAATGGACTTCCTTTGTTACTTGCATGAGTTCCACAGTCCCTATCATGTTGCCTAGAGTCCTGTGTGGGGCTTTAGCCTACTGATCCAGTCTTGTTCTGCTGTCCCTCATCGCTACCCATCCATGTGCCCATACTCAGGATTGGCCAGACTCTTCCAGTGTCCCAGGTTCTCTGCACTACTCAGCAACACCTTTGGGGACCTCCCTCAGCCCTGGTCATTCAGCCAATCCAAGACTCAGCAGAGTATTTGTTTTCTGTGGAGCTCTGCTGGCTTCTTCCTACATTTTCCTTGGTTCTCAGAGTGGTGGCTGCTTGCAAGGACTTCGTTGCAATGACTTCTCTCTGTCTGGTTCTGGTAGACTGAGCTCCTTAAGATGGATTCCGTGTCATATTAGTCCTGTTCCAGGGCACTGTCACGCTATTTAGGTGTGGTAAACCTAAAATTAGTTTCAGTGCAAGAATCAATGGATCAATAGTAATTATCTCTTGAAACTTTATTCTCAAATGTTATTCAGGTCAACACAGCCTGAGAAGAATAATGCCCAAACTCATTTACTCTGCCATTAAATCTCAGTGATATGTAGGAGAATATTAATAAAATCAGCAGCAGTGAAACTGCTCATACATACCCTCACTCACTTATTTTACATCTTTAGTTTCCTTGTTTGGGAAAAATATTAACTCAGATCACTTTTCTTTATAGTTGAACTCTGCTCTCATTTCTGTTTTTTCAGTTATTATATATTCTTTATATTTTTTGATTCAAGCAAAATATTGAAAGTCTTTATTTGTAGGTGGGTTACATTTTAAAAATTTATCTCATACATCTCTAATGATTATGAAAGACAAATTCTTTATTCTCTGGGGGCAAACTCATAGCTCTGACTGGTAAGGGCCTAGCACTAGCCCGAGAGGCTGCGTGTCTATTGGCTGGATATAAATCAACTGAGTCTCTTGTATGCATGACTAATGGAACATTCGCTTTTCTCTTCCTTCCATCTCTGCTTTGTTTTCCCTGAAGGTGAACATGAAGTCTCTATAGCAGACAAGAATTGGAGTTAGGTGGCTCATAGGTTATTTTTGATTCCTTGCACTGTGTTACATTTCTCAAATGTTTATTTGCATGTGAATCATACTTTTATAAGTATAAAAGAAAACAGAAAAATCATTAAAATGTGCTTTGAATAAGGAAGTATTTAACTTTGTAGAGGCCCCTCTTGGCTTTAGAAGCAACTGTCATGAATGCATTGATCTTGCCTGAAATTTACTTTTACACTTAAAGATTGATAAGTTCTTAGGTAGCCCAACTCTTTCTTAAAATTATTACTCTAATCACCTTGAAATGTGAGCCAGCAATAGTGAACAAGACCAGAAAACATTATGATAGCTTCTTTCTGGGCCCCTCACCACTCCTCAGCCTACCTGCTGCCCAGAAGTTGGTGAACCCAAGAGGTAACAGCTTCCTGGAGTTGGATGGTCTTTGTGTGACACAGTGTTTCTGTCACAGTGGTACTGACCATAAACCAGGCACAGGGTGAGACACAAGTGATACAGGATGGACTCAGATATCACCCTAGGTTACAGGGGGCAGTCTCGTAGGGAAGTGACACTATATACTCAGTACTGTCCTATGCAGGACGCTTGAGTGTCCTCAAAGGGACCCAAACCTGATGATGACAGGAGTTAGGACTGATGA